TTTTAAAGACATATACCAAAATATTTATGGATGGAATTTTGCTATCTGGGATTTGCTTCAAAGTTGTGCATGCAACCACAATGAAACAAAACTAGCTATGACTTGGTAATTTTTAAAGCTGGATGAAGGGTATACGGCATTCATTAAGTTATTCTATCTATATCTATATATAACTAAAATTTTATATAATAAAAAATTTTCCTAAATAAAAAGCTAAAATATGGGCCAGGCATGGTGGCTCACACCTGTAATCCTAGTACTCTTGGAGGCAGAGGTGGGACAACTGCTTGAGGTCAGCAGTTCGAGACCAGCCTGAGCAAGAGTGAGACCCCATGTCTACTAAAGATAGAAAAAATTAGGCAAGCGTGATGGCACATGTCTGCAGTCCCAGCTACTCGGGAGGCTGAGGCAGGAGGATTGCTTAAGCCCAGGAATCCATGGTTGTAGTGAGCTATGATCACGCCACTGCACTCTAGCCAGGTCAACAATGCGAGACTCTGTCTCAAAAAAAAAAGCTAAAATATGAGTTTGGATAACTGGAAGACTGGTTCGAACATACTTTGTTCTTAATGAACCATAAAAGATAACAAGTGTGTCCAAGCTTTTAGGTGTCCTTACGAGGATCTATCCCGCTGCCAGCTTCTCATGCTTCCATTACAAGAAAACCTTAAATAGAAAATCTTTAATAAAAATGACAAAGGAAAACATTGAAAAGGAAGCAAACACAAACCATCCCAGGAGTTTTTCCTCTGATTTGCCTATGGAGGGCTAGTTTCTAGGGGGGGAAAAAAAGAATAGACAAGCAATCAACCTCCCAAAGAGACTAAAGATTGCTCATTATACACGCTAGCTGAAATTAAAGAACAGGGTGACAGGCACACAGTATTCACATAGCACTTTAACTTTCTGAAGTTCTTTGATATAAATTGCTTCATTTGATCTTAACAATAACCATATAAAATGGAGAGGAGAAAAATTCACTTCCTAGAGGAAACCAACACAAAGAGGTCTCAAAACTAGTTAGTGACAGAACACAAGTCTATCCCTGTTCTAGTGCTTCTTCCACTAACCTGTTCTCTTCCTATCCAATTTGGTCTAATTATTCAGTTTGGGGAAAAGCCTGCCCAGATCCCTTTTACCACCACTACAGTCATAAACACCCAATAACAAGTGGCTCAGTAAAGACAGCTACTGACAAATTTATTGATTTTTGCTCCATGCTGAATGGTTCCCAAAAATTTACTTAGCAATTTGGACAGCTCACAATGGCTTAGAAAACTTAGAAATGAGGAATTTTTTTTCCCTATCAAAAGCCACTGATACTCAGGGCAAAAAGAGAAGGTATCAAGTTCACAATTTGAAAAATTTTACCATGGGTGTTAGTGTATAGATATGCATGTTCTGGAAGGTAGGGAGAGAGAAACATATTAGCAAGGACCTTTTCCAACTTAATGGACTGACACTTATCCCATTTATTTAAACATGTCCCAATTTCAATGAAAGTACAGACTAGGAACCCTCTAGACACAATGCAAGAACATTTAATTTGTTGATTGTGAAGAATTAAATTTAAAATAACCCAGATTCTGCACTTCTCTTCCTTGGCAAACCTAGCCGACTGCCCATATACCATTCTGTTCCACGCACTCATTTTAACTCACTATATCAGTAAGGGAAGGGAGGCTTAAAGCCTGAGCCTGCTGAAAGATGCTATAACTAGGAAATTCTCTTTCAATTCATCCAGTCTCAGAGTGAACACTCAAGAATGTGCTGGGATTGTCTACTCCAATTACTTGCTCCTGGATCAGTAGAGGGATAGAAGTGGAGGATGTCGGCAGCAGCTCTGAGCACGTTGTGTTGTCTGCTGAGTTTCTGTGTCTTTTTCTATTACAGGAACTTTACACTTTCAAACTGCATCTGATGATTCTTTTTGTCAGTAGCATCACTGTCCTGATAAGACAACCATGCAATAAGCAACTATCCCCAACATTACTTCAAGTCACTACAGCCTTCTCTTAGAAACTATTATTCACTTAGGTACTTTCCTTAGAATGTCTGCAAGTCAAACAGAGATAATCCCATTGCCACTAAAATATCTAAACTACTTGGGCATATTTGAGAAGAGCATAGAGCCCGCCTACTATACTCTGATTATGAATGAACCTACAACTAGGGATGCAAGTTCTTTGGAGCAAATACATCTTTCTAGTACTTCCTTTTAGGTAATTTAGAAATGGAATTTGGAACAAAATTAACATTTGTGAATCACCTAATGTGTACCATGCATTGTGCCAGCTACTTTGTAAATCTCTCATTTAATCGGCCCGGTGCGGTGGCTCATGCCTGTAATCCTAGCACTCTGGGAGGTCGAGGCAGGCAGATTGCTCGAGATCAGGAGTTCGAAACCAGACTGAGCGAGACCCCGTCTCTACTAAAAATAGAAAAAAATTACTTGACCAAATAATAACTAAATAATAATAACTAATAATAATGACTAAAAATATATATACAAAAAATTAGCCGGGCATGGTGGCGCATGCTTGTAATACCAGCTACTCAGGAGGCTAAGGCAGTAGGAACGCTTGAGCCCAGGAGTTTGAGGTTGCTGTGAGCTAGGCGGATGCCACGGCACTCACTCTAGCCTGGGCAACAAAGTGAGACTCTGCCTCTAAATAAATAAATAAATAAATAAATAAATAAGTAAATAAATAAAAATAAATCTCTCATTTAATCCTAACAGGCCTTCAAGGTATTTTTGTTATTATTGCCTTTTCAAAAATGAAGAAAACAAAGAACAGGAATGTTAAGTAACCTGTCCAAAATCTTAAACCTACTACATGGCAGAATCAAAGTTGAACCCAAGACAGGACACAGATCTTAATAACTTGCTTCTTATTACCTTACCTACTTTTCAAAGGAGTTATGACTTACAATGATACCAGAAATAAGGGTATTTCTAATTTAAGTTTTTACGAGAAAAATCAATAGCTTTAATACATAGCAAAGAAAATCATGCCTGGAACCAACTTATTGAATTAAACCAATACCTATTTTCACATATTCTGACAGTCTATACCAAATCTCTCTACCAGTTAGACCTTGTATATTCAAAGGAAGAGCAGAAAATGTTTGGTTAAATCTCTATAGCATTTTCAAATATTTGAAATATATAAGATACTCCTCCATTTCAAAATCTATGAATAATCTTTGTACAAATTTTCCCAGAAAAATTTACACTAGTCTACCTCAAAGTAATGAACCTTTGAGTTTTACTATAAAATGAAGAATTCCAAAATATGTAGGCTTCCATTTATTGAAAGCACTATAAAAATGGATTAAAAATTAAAAAGCCTTCCTTCTAAATTATGTAGCCGCATTAATACAAGAATATGGATAAATGGTAAAAGCTATCACTTACAGAGTACTTACTATGTGCCAAGTATTTTACACATGTATTTTCATTTTCTACCTTACAAAAGCCTCTGCAATTATTATTAGCTCTATTTTATAAGCAAGGAAACTAAGGTGACAAAGTTCATATAACTTGGCCAGAGTAACACAGCTAGAAAGTGTTGGAGCTAGAATGGAAATCCAGGTTGGTCTAACCCCAAAGCCCATGCTCTTTACAGCCACTGTTTACTACCTCTCAGTTCTTATCTGGTAAATATATCCTTGTCCTCAATTCTGAAACCATTATAAACACAAATACACACTTAATCATTTAAGAAGTATCGAAGAATTACCATTAGAAAAATTCAAATAAGGAAACAAATTTTCATAATTCTAAGAGATCAAGAATAGAGAATTCACACGACAAAAACTTATACATTGCATGGGAGTTATTTTTAAATTGATAAGAACATGGTATGACCCGGAAATCATTTTAAGTATTTAAGAAAATTCAAGGCCAGGCACTGTGGCTCACATCTGTAATCCTAGCACTCTGGGAAGCCCAAGGCAGGAAGGTCGCTTGAGCGCAGGAATTCGAGACCAGATTGCATAAGAATAAGACCCCATCTCTACTGAAAACTATAAAAATTAGCAGACCACAGTGGCACATGCCTGTAGTCCCAGTTACTTGGGAGGCTGAGGCTGGAGGATTGCTTGAGCCCAGGAGTTTGAGTTTGCAGTGATCTATGATGACACCACTGCACTCTAGCCCAGGTGACAGAGTCAGACTGTGTCTCAAAAAATAAATAAAATAAATAAAAATAATTTAAATACTGTAAACCAAAAGGTTGAACAAAAGAATTCATTTTTTATAAAAATCAAGTTATAACTTAATCTATACTTAATGACCGAACTGTGAATAATATATTCTGCTCTTTATCTAAAGATTTTATTAATATTAGCAAATTACAGAGGAGATGTAATCATAACATGGACAATTTTAAACTTCTGGATGGCTATTATCGCCTATGTACCACTGTTTCAAATTTCTTTAGAAAAGTATAATGTCAAAAAAAAAAAGCCAACAGTAACATTCCCTAAATATGAATCCTTCAGTCTGTTAGTATCTGAACCAAAACATATAAATCTTTAAATGTACAAGATATTGTTTATTTTATTTATTTATTTATTTTAAGACAGAGTCTCACTTTGTTGCCCAGGCTAGAGTGAGTGCCGTGGCATCAGCCTAGTCACAGCAACCTCAAACTCCTGGGCTCAAGCTATCCTCCTGCCTCAGCCCCCGAGTAGCTGGGACTATAGGCAGTGCGCACCATGCCCGGCTAATTTTTTATATATTTTTAGTTGGTCAATTATTTCTTTCTATTTATAGAGAGACGGGGCTCGTCAGGCTGGTTTCAACTCCTGACCTCGAGCAATCCACTCGCTCAGCTCCTGGAGTTCAGGATTACAGGTGTGAGCCACCACGCCTGGCTAAGATTTGTTTAAATAGCATATTCTTCTCCTGTTATCAAACACATTCATTAGATTAGTTGACAGGACAATGTAAGAATCATTTTCTAAGAACTGTCAAAGAATAGATCAAGTCTTACCTCCATTGCTAAAGCTGCTGTCTGTTGGTCATAATGATTCAGAAGATTAGGCATGAAGGTAGTATTATAAGGCAAATCTTGGCACACCTCAAGGTAAAGGTTCACAAGAAACAAACTGTGCCCACCTATATGCCCAACACAGCCAAGGGCCAAAGATAGAAGCGGTCCAATCACAGCCATCCTTCCTCGACGTGAATGAGATTGGATGTCAGAGCCTACTCAATACGTATTTTAGTCTTTACACACCTGCAGGTCTCAGCTTGAAAGTATTTCTTCTATATCTTACTGTTAATTCTTCAAATAGTTAAAACTCTTTGTGTTGTCAGAGGTTCGTTAGCTTGGTCTCACAAAAGGCATTGTTTTTGGTTTCACAATATGGGAAAATGACATCATTGTCTCTTCTTTTCATTTTATTACATAGGGCACATCTGGCCAACAATCAAGTTGAATCT